ATAAGTAACCAGACTGACGCCCCCCAAAATAGATGGGGCATGGTGAAAACAAAAAAAAAAAGAAAAAAAAAAGGTCAAAGTTCAAACCAATTTCGCCTTCTTTTTTTTTTTTTCAAAGAACAACCCTCCAGTCTATTGGTGGGGAGCAGCCAAATTGTCGTGGTGGGTTAAACCGCTAGTACTTGGCCAAGGTATCGGCCGCGGCGCTTCCCCGTTAACGCACTGCGGCATTTGGGCTTCGGCCTACCAGACCACATTGGCTGGAGGCCACAGCCAAAACGAAAACAAAAAAGCGTCGCAGCGCTTTGGTAAAACTTGGCGCGCAAGGTCGATGAAGGCTCGGCTTCGATAGCAGGGCTAAGTACTGGTGGTTTAAAGTTCAGTGCAATCTTTGAAGTTCAGCGCAACCTTCTCATCCAGCTCGATTTCTTTGTCCATAGCGAATGTGGGTGCTAACTACTTTTTGATGCAAATCAGGAGTGAGATGTGGTGGGCATCACCCGAGTATTCCTGGAGATGATATTGTGCTGGAGGCTGAGCTTGATTGGAGGAGACCAAGGGGAGAGCTCCTTGAGCTCAAGGTCACGCCGGCAGTGGGTCCGGCAATTAAGATCCAGGTACATGGACAAAATTTCCACTTACACTTGCTACGGTCTTAGACTACATGATGTGGTATCAACATACTATCAAATACTATCAATTTCTTGGTTTTTTTTTTTTTTTTTTTTTTTAAATCAATTTCTAGCAAAGGCAAAGCAGGGATGGCTGGTGTGTAAAAACTTACTGAGTAAATTTTTTTTCATCCTAAGAGGGACCTGAGTCATCTGTGGGAATAATGTTCTACACAAATCCAGAATCTACCTTCTTCCCCCGAATACAATGTACGGTCATTATAGTCGCATTTCAGGCATCTTTCACTCTAGATACAGCTATAATGACCGGACGTTGTATTCGGGGGAAGAAGGTATTTGTCATATTGAAGTGTAAGAGAAACCTACCGTCTTCCCCCGAATAAAACGTACGGTCATTCTGCCTGTATTTGGCACAACTTTCGGTCCGGATGCAGCGAGGATGACAGTATGTTCTATTCAGGTGAAGACGGTAGGTCTAATTTACGTATTGATGATGCGGAACTTTCTTTTCTCCTGCTTGTTATGATTGCTCTCTCTTTCTTTTTTCCGAAAAAAAAGTCCCCTTTCTACTGGTGCCGGGCAACGCCTGCCGGGAATCTTGCGAAGCAATCAGTTATTCCTGAAAGTTGTCGAAAGCACATGGTTGAGTACGAGTTATTATCATGGTTACGCCGGACCCGGACACCCGGCCAGTCCAGACGTCCAGCCGGATCTGTGTCTGGACTGATCCAGACCGTCCTTATTGAAGAGAACCCCTTTTTTTATTTAACAAAAATGTTTTTATTTGTTTTCCCCTTGGATTTGGCTACGAATTTCGAGATGGTCCTCGGCCAAAAGATTTCTGGATTGCAATGCTGCACAACATTATTTTTTCCACATTTTTTTTTGATGGTTTTTAAAGTCGGATTTTTTTTGGGTTTGGGGATGGGGGATGGATACGGACACTTTGGACCGGACACCAGACCCGGACATCAAGACCCAGACCGTCTGCACTGCAGTCAGGACGTCTGGATCGTAACCATGGTTATTATCCTTTTGTGACCATGGGACGTAACTGAGCTAACCACAGTTACCGCACCATATTTTTTGGATTCTACTATTGAATAGGCAAAGTCTCTGGACTTTGTCCTTCATAGCTGGGTGTGGTAGGCATGGCCCCCACATGAACCCCCCAACAGGGCCCAACTTCGGGTTAGGGCTCATGGAAGCACGAGTTGGGGGTGTTTTCTTTGTTTTCCTGGGTAGGTCCTGGGTTCATTTCTGTTGTTTTTTTTTTTCTTTTTCGGCCATGCTAATCTTCTCTGTATTGTTCCAATTTTAACGGATGTCCCGAAGGACAAGGGTTCATTTCTGTTGTGTTCGTGGTCTTTTGTCTGTTTGGAGTTCATTTTGTCTGTTTCATTGCAGTATTCCCCAGACCTTGTTTGTCCGATTCATTTCAGCATTCACAGGTCACTCAGATTTTTGTCCTTTTGTGAGGATACCTCTGGTGTTTCAGCTGAGGAGCCTGGACGTCCAGTTGGGACCCAGGCCGCGGCCGTTTTGAGGCCAGGAATTCAAGACCAGGATCTGGGCCTGCATCTTTTATCATCGACTGGCATTACGATTGAACGGCCCAGGATGTAGAACGGTGCAGGATCCAGTAGGCCCAGCGTTATATATAGCTGGGCTTGAGATGGGCAGTTTTTTGGGGACACACTTCAGCATGCTGCTTCGGGAGCAGCGTTTGAGGAGTTAGGATAACAGCACTAGGGAGTAGCGGAGTAGAGGACAGCGGAGGTTGGGTTAGAGGGGAATTACCTGTTTGCTCCATCGTTGCATCTCCGTCACTGGGCACAGGGTCCTCATCACCTGCAGATATCAGAAGACAGCTCAGCATCTCCTAGTTTGCTGGCCGGTGTCTGGTTCTTCTGAGAGGGAGTGAGAGCAGAGATTCTTCTTCTTCTCCTGCTGAGGGGGAGTGAGAGGAGAGATTCTTCTTCTTCTTCTTCTTCTTTCTGCATCCTGTCGCTCCGCCCTCCATATCCACCTTCAACGTCTACAAGCGAGAGAGAGAGGGAGGGGGATTTGAGACTTGGCTGAGTCAGGCGAGTGGTGAGCAGGGAAGCCCCCTGATGATGATCGCGTGGGGGTAGCCACTGGTGGGATTGTGTGGAGGATTGGGCGCGACGAACATCTTTTGAGAGATACTTTGCTTTGAAGACGACGGTGTTGACTTGTGTCATTATGTCATGTCAGCTTGTTTGGAGGACCATGCTTCACTCTCATCTGGATGCATGTTGAGGTGCTGTGATACTCATGTCGTCATTGTAACGATTGACTCACCGGACATGCTAATGCTACGTGTTGTGTACTGCACGCCTAGTATTGCATGCTTTTGCCGTCTGAGTTCCCCAACAACAACAACTTGGCTACTATCTTTTGGGTTGTGCCCAGTCTTGGACATGACTTCAGACAGAGACTATTGTGGGAGACTATCGAGATAGAGACTATGATCGATCACCAGATACATGGAGTTCTACTGTCTTCTTCTTCCTCGCCCTTCGTCTCTCTCCTCCCACTGTTCTTCGTCAGTGTGATTCCCTCGCCACGTGTGGGCAGTAAGGCGGCATTCTTCTATGTGTGCACTGCCTGGCTTGATCCAGTTGTATGATGGATGAGGCTTGGGTCATGTCTTGAGTTTGTTGAGTCAGATTGGTATGTTTGCGGTCTTCCACTCCATCAGTTGTTGTTTCTCACTTTGGGTGATTCCTTGGTTGATGTGTATATAGCTGGGATTAGTGTATGGTAGGAGAGGTGGAGTAAGTTGGGTGCCCCTTCAATCATGTCTGTTCTTTTTTCTCTTCTTTTCTTTTTTTCGGAGAAAACTTCATATGTGGGAAAACCACTTAACGAGGTGATAAGAGCAGTGCTGTTAAGCAGGTCCAAGCGTTGAAGGCTCCATCTGTTGGTGGGGAGCTATACCTGCTGGAAATCGGGCCCAGCGTCCCTATACATTGACGTATGAGAATGATTATGTGACGGGGCTATGCCGTGTGTCCAATACTGTGTAAAGCAGGAGGCATTCATTACTTCGCTGGACCAGGATAGGATTGACTTCCTGCCAACCTATCTGCAAGGCGACGTGCTGATTTTCTTTTCCGTCCACTTAGGCATGAGAAATATCCTAAAAAAGGTGTCTGGAACATCAGTCTTGACCTTTGGGTAGCGGCATTAGCCGCATTACCCTTCCTACTAGTTATTTCCTTTTTTTTTTCCCATCCCACAACAAAGCTTTAAAGGGGACGCAGGTCACCATTGACCCAGCCATGCGACGCCTTCTTTTTTGTTGAATGAATATTTCCCCCGTGCGCTGCACCGTGTGGCTGAGTGATAGCCGGCTTTGATCTCTGTCACAGGTACCTTGAAGGCAGTGGTTGGTGCCCACCTCAGGGTATCAGTTGTCGGGCAGTCGTTGATGCTTAACCACAGCCTGGGTTAAGGTGGATTATCACTTACAGACTTACAGTGTAATCAGTTAGGGGATTCTGCAGACTGTTGAGGGTTCAGCGTCCTGATGAGTTGGTGAAACTCCGAGCGAACAGTTTGTCACAGCCCCTCGTTTGTTGTCCTCTTCTTCCTTTCTGCCTACGGTTTACCAAGCAGTTCTGTTTGACGATATATACGTATCAATATATAGAATATTATATTCCATGAAATCAGTCTTGCAAATTCACACTCCAACATGCATGCAACAGATGAGAATAACTTGGCGCTGTGCACCCAACTCAAACTCGGAGATATGGTAGCTTGCAACTCAACTCAA